TTCAGAATTCTTTATCTTCCTTTCTTCTCTAGAAAAGTAGTTTTTTTTAAGTGCACAGTTTCTTTTTTGAAATTTTCTAGGTGTCTGTTGCAAGGGCACTTTGAAAGAGTAACTTCATTTATATGTTTGGGTTTTTTTATAGTAGAATCTAATGTACAAAGGCAGGCTGGACAGTCTTTGCCTGACAATTAATCTCTTTTGAGGGATTTATGTGGGCTTTGTTGTCATTTATCCCTTCTTCAGTCCTCACAATCTAGCACCTTGTTCAGGACACTAGAGCACTGCTGCTGTTAATATGGGAGCAAGTCTAAGTGCTGACTAGATGGATCTAGGTAACTGCTAAGCTTTTGGTTTGTACTGGGTTTTTTTGAGCACACCTCTTCTGTCAGACAAGCTGGCATTAGGAAGCCCTGATATGCTTTGTTGTGGTTACTTGTCTTATATCTTCATTCATAGGAATATGAGACTTATTTCAGGTGTGTTTTATGCCTATTCATGAACAACAAGGGAGAGTATGAATTTTTGGGCAAGATGAAAAGATGCAGAAGTTGGGCAGAGGCAGTGGTGTTATCACTGTGTGCTTTGGGTATCACGCTGCCCTGGAGTGGTGCCTCTGCAGACTGCCATGTAGTCATCTCATTGTGGTCTCCTCCATATGCTAGAGTCTAACTGTTTTAACAGTTGATGAGTAAGGGATAAGTTTATGATCTTCTGGTACCCATGTTGTTGCGGAACTGACTTGGCAGACCTCTGTACCCACAGTTGACTCTGGTCCATTATCAATATTTTTTCCAGCAGTTTGTATAGGAAACAGCGATTTATTTATTTATTTATTAAAATTTTGTGTAGTGTTAGCTAGACAATATGACATAAATGTGATATGACTGCTTTGATTCATGGACGGATAATTCATTACCTTGTATTAATAGGGTACTTGTACAAACAAAACAGATTTTCATGCCAAGCTGGGCTGATTGGACTCAGGATGCTCTTTGTCACAGTTTGTGCCCATGATTTTGTGTTCCCTTTTATTAGATTACCTATAATCGGATCCCAAGCTGCATTTCATCACGTTTTTTTGGCCTCCCTTGCCATGTTTGTGGCTAAAACCAATGCAGTTTAATGACCATGTGCTTTTCCCTTCTGGTTCTTCCTAATTTCTTTTTCTGGCATCTTAGCAGTGCAATAGGGGCCCATGGACTCTTCCAACACATTTAATTTCCATGATCTGATGTTCACTTGTGATGCCATGGCTTTGAGGCAGCAGTACCTGGGATTTTCAGATAGCTTTCTATCCAAGTCCTGCAGAGGCTCAAGGTTGCTTAGTTTCTGATATAGACAAGATCAAATGAGTTCAGCGTGGATTGCCAGAGGCCTTGTGATTGCATCCTCATTCACTTACTGACATTCATGTATTTCTGTTCAAATACATTCTTTTCTTTCTGTTAGCTTCTTCAAGTCCTAATTAAATAAAACTCTAGTGCATGATTAGTATATGAAGGACAGCTGTTAATGAAACAGTAAGTTCCTTATCGTTATGAGTAGACCAATTCAGATTCTTAAAATGAAATGTGTGCTCAGATGGCCTCCTGGCTTGGAACAGTAGAGTGGAAAGACAAACTCCTCTAGTGAGGTATGTTTGCAGACTGCTGGAAGGTGTGATCTGTCTTCTGTCAATAATAATTGCTGAAGTTCAAAATACAACAGCTACCAAACCAAATCCTCAGTCCTGTAGAACTGGTATTCTTGTCGGATGCTTTGCATGTTTCATAGTTGAGAGCTCAGATGCTCTCTGAGAGACCCTGACCACACAAGCATCTGGGAGGTGGTGAGTGCTGGGGGCTCCTCCCATGATGCCCATTTTGTACTCCTGCCTTCTGTTGATGGTGTTTTTATGCATTTGCCATGCAGTTCATGGTTTCAACCAGATGGGCAGCAATTTGCTATTTATTCTTTCATTTACTTCAGTGTGTCAAAATTCCTTCCTTTTCCTCTTCTCTTTCTCCCAGAGCTTCTGCCATGAAGCTTAGCTTGTCTGAAAAGTGGAACTGAAATGGTGCTCCAGTTCTCTGGGGACAAACCTGTCTCTCTTTAGCACAATCTCTAGGTGTGAGCTAGACACACATGTGCCAAATGAGTTGATTTGCTTTGCAAGTGACCACTAATCTTTCTGATGCTAGTTAGTGGATTTTGTTGACACTTTTATTTAGACACTTACCATTGTCCAGTGAGTTCCCACTGGCTGGAAAAGGGGAAACATAACTCCCATTTTCAAGAAGGAAAAAAAGAAAGACCCAGGGAACTGTGCACCAGTCAGTCTCACCTCTGTGCCTGGTAAGATCATGGAGCAGATCCTCCTGAAAGCTCTGCTAAGGCACATGGAAAATGTGGAGGTTGTTGGTGGCAACCATGCCAAATGATGCCTGACAAATTTGATGGTCGTTTATAATGGGATCGCAGCATCGGTGGACAAGGGAAGAGCAGCTGATGTAATCTATGTATACTTATGCAAAGCTTTTGATGCTCTCTTGCATGACATCCTGGTCTCTAAATTGGAAGGATATGAATTTGATTGATGGATGGACCACTCAGTGGATAAGGAATTGGCTGGATAGTCACCCTTAAAGAGTAGTGATCAACGGCTCGATGTCCAAGTGGAGACCAGTGATGAGGGGCATTCCTCAGGGGTCTGTACTGGGACCAGTCCTTTTTAACATCTTTATCAGCAACATGGACAGTGGCATTGACTGCACCCTTGGCAAGTAAGCTGACAACACCAAACTGTGTGGTGAGGTTGACACACTGGAGGGAAGGAATGGCATCCAGAGTACCTTGACAGGCTTGAGAGGTGAGCCCATGCCAACCTCCTGAAGTTCAACAAGGGCAAGTGCAAAGGTGTTGCACCTGGGTTGGGGCAATCCCAAGCCCTAGTGGACAGTAAGTTATCCATGGGACAGCAATGGGCCCTTGTGGCCAAGAGGGCTAATGGTATCCAGGGGTTCATTAAGAAAAGTGTGTCCAGCAGGTCTAAAGAGGTTCTCCTCACCCTCTACTCTGTTGTGGTGAGACTACACTTGGAATACTGTATCCAGTTTTGGGCTTCCCAATTTAAGAAAGATATCTATGGGAGAGAGTCCAATGGAAAGCTGTGAGCATTATTAAGGGACTTAAACATCTCTCCTGTGAAGAAAGGCTGAGAGAACTGGGGCTGTTCAGTCTTGAGAAGGCTGAGAGGGGATCTTATTAATGTCTAGAAATATTTGAGGAGTGGGTGTAAGAAGAAGGGGCCAGTCTCTTTCTGGTGGTGCCCAGTAGTAGGAGAAGGAGCAATGGGTATAAGCTAGAACAGAGGAAGTTCCACCTCAACATGAGGAGGAACTTCTTTACTGTGAGGGTGATGGAGCACTAGAACAGGCTGCCCAGAGAGTTTGCGGAGTCTCTTTCTCTGAAGACTTCGAAAACCTGCCTGGATGCATTCCTGTGTGGCCTGGCCTAGTTGGTCCTGCTTTGGCAGGGAGTTTGGACTAGATGATCTCTAGAGGTCCCTTCCAACCCCTAACATTGAATGATTTTGTTCAGATGGGTGAATTTATTGATTTTGACTATCTGATAATAAATAGCATGTGAACAATTCTGTTGAATTGGTGTGACTACTTCTGTGCATAAATATCACCACATGCTTCATTGCTTTTCTCAGTTTGAGATCCAGAACTTTTATCTTTGTGGATATATTCTTTGCTAGACCTTCAGAAAGTGGAAGGAAAAAAGGACAGCATCTGTCTTTCTCTACAGGGGCAAGTCTTCAGCACTTTTGCTCTCGCCTTGATTTGTTGCTTGTCTGTAGTTTGCCCACAACTAGATAATCTACAGATTACCTAGATTTTAATTTTTTTGAGATTAGCATTGATTGGAAAATAACTGACTTCTTCAGATGTTTGCCATTGATTGTGGAGTGCAAGAAGGTTTGCAGTGCATGAAAGTTGGCACAAGTCTGTATTGCTTACCTTCAAAATTTAGTAAGACTGATAGAAAAGGTTGTTATGGTATATAGCCTTTTAAAAATGAAATTTAGATTTTGTCTGCACAGAAAATTGTCCTGAAATAAGCTGAAGTGGCAGTTAATGTACCAGTACAACTGCTTATCTAGTTGTCTTTATTTCAGTACAGCATTGCTCTTTTTCTGATAGCTTGTATTTCTTTGGGTGGCTTCCACCCTGCAATGAAAGTGAGCTTGAATCATTTTGTAGGTACTGTGGTGGTAGGGCATGTCTGTTCAGTGTTTAATCTTTCCTCTCTTTATCTCTCTTAGTGCTCAGACCCATGGTTAACATACCATTTGGCAACCAGTCTGCTTTAATTGCTGATGATGTATGTAGAGTAATGTGATTTTTTTTTATTATTTTTTTTTAAAGCCTAACCCTCTTTTATTGCAGGTTAAGCTGTGCTTGCAGACAGTTACTGCAACTTAGCTGCCTGATAATAAACTGTTTAAACCACTGTAATTTCATCATGTGTTTGGTTCATCAGACACAAGGCGTTTAAGAACCACCTAAAAGGAATCGTCATTTAAAAGCATCACATAAGCTCAATATAATTGAAACAAGTACAATCTGTGTGTATGAAGAGGAGATGTGGATGCTTTTAAGAAGCATCTGCTTCATAAATACGAGCTATGAAAGGCTTCCAAATGCCTCCTCTGTTCGTCAAATGTGAATGTGATCTTCTCCTAGGAAGCCATCTGGAGTAGGCATGCCACAGTCGCTGCCTCGCTCGGTGCCGTTGTCCTATCTGTGCCTTCAAGTGACTTGTCTCGCTACTGCACACTCAGTATTAGTGATCGTTCCATGAGCTTGTTCGAATGTGAATTTTGTTGCCAAGCTTTGGTGCATCATAACAATATTTTGTCTCCAATGTGCCGTTTTTTTTATAATGTGGTTTATTGTGGGTTTTTTTCTGCCTACCTTATAGTAATATTGTGAAAGGAATGAGGAGCCTGCGGGAAATACTACGGACTGTGGAAACAAAAGCTACTCAGACCTTCAAAATGGTAAGGGGAATGGGATGTGGGAAGGTGGGGTAACCTGCTATACAGGAATTCTCTCTGTTTATTAGCCAGTGCAGTTAGGACAAAAATGTACTTCTCACTTGATTGATGATTCCTTTTTTTTTGAGATTAGCATTGATTGGAAAATAACTGACTTCTTCAGATGTTTGCCATTGATTGTGGAGTGCAAGAAGGTTTGCAGTGCATGAAAGTTGGCACAAGTCTGTATTGCTTACCTTCAAAATTTAGTAAGACTGATAGAAAAGGTTGTTATGGTATATAGCCTTTTAAAAATGAAATTTAGATTTTGTCTGCACAGAAAATTGTCCTGAAATAAGCTGAAGTGGCAGTTAATGTACCAGTACAACTGCTTATCTAGTTGTCTTTATTTCAGTACAGCATTGCTCTTTTTCTGATAGCTTGTATTTCTTTGGGTGGCTTCCACCCTGCAATGAAAGTGAGCTTGAATCATTTTGTAGGTACTGTGGTGGTAGGGCATGTCTGTTCAGTGTTTAATCTTTCCTCTCTTTATCTCTCTTAGTGCTCAGACCCATGGTTAACATACCATTTGGCAACCAGTCTGCTTTAATTGCTGATGATGTATGTAGAGTAATGTGATTTTTTTTTATTATTTTTTTTTAAAGGCTAACCCTCTTTTATTGCAGGTTAAGCTGTGCTTGCAGACAGTTACTGCAACTTAGCTGCCTGATAATAAACTGTTTAAACCACTGTAATTTCATCATGTGTTTGGTTCATCAGACACAAGGCGTTTAAGAACCACCTAAAAGGAATCGTCATTTAAAAGCATCACATAAGCTCAATATAATTGAAACAAGTACAATCTGTGTGTATGAAGAGGAGATGTGGATGCTTTTAAGAAGCATCTGCTTCATAAATACGAGCTATGAAAGGCTTCCAAATGCCTCCTCTGTTCGTCAAATGTGAATGTGATCTTCTCCTAGGAAGCCATCTGGAGTAGGCATGCCACAGTCGCTGCCTCGCTCGGTGCCGTTGTCCTATCTGTGCCTTCAAGTGACTTGTCTCGCTACTGCACACTCAGTATTAGTGATCGTTCCATGAGCTTGTTCGAATGTGAATTTTGTTGCCAAGCTTTGGTGCATCATAACAATATTTTGTCTCCAATGTGCCGTTTTTTTTATAATGTGGTTTATTGTGGGTTTTTTTCTGCCTACCTTATAGTAATATTGTGAAAGGAATGAGGAGCCTGCGGGAAATACTACGGACTGTGGAAACAAAAGCTACTCAGACCTTCAAAATGGTAAGGGGAGTGGGATGTGGGAAGGTGGGGTAACCTGCTATACAGGAATTCTCTCTGTTTATTAGCCAGTGCAGTTAGGACAAAAATGTACTTCTCCTCACTTGATTGATTGCTCCTTTTTTTTTTTTTACTTGTTTTTTTTTTCTTTCCACTTTTGTAAGTGATGTGTCAAGTGATGCATTTAATTCAAAGACCTGCCCAGTTGAAACCTCCAAGCCTTCAGACCTAGGCATCTTCAGACCTGAGCATGTGGGTTACTTTTGGCTTTTTTTTTTTTTTTTTCCCCCAGTGCATTTTCTAGCCCTAGTAGAAATAGGTATGTGTTTAGTTTGACAGTGCTGTCCTGAGGTGATGGTGTCTCGGTTTCTTCTGGTGTCTGAACGCACAACTTATTGCATTTGCAGGTAGAAGCATTAAGTACTTCTGGCTCTTGCAACAAGCAGTGCTTTTTCAGACTTGAGGGCTTCAGTGTTCTTCCTGTAAAACTCCCTTCAAAACAGTACAGAATGATGGGGTTTTTTGGGGGGTTTTTTTGGTTTTTTTTTGGTGGTGGTGTTGGCATTCTGCATCCTGTTATTCTGAGTATCTCTGGTAAATAAGTAATGGAGAAAGTTATTTATGTGCCTATTTAAGTTCTTAGACCTTTCACTGGTTCTTCCCTGTCTTCCCTGTAAGAGGTCTTGTCCTGAAGTTACTCAGGAGGTTACAAGGTCAACAGCATGCGGAGTAGCAATTTTGAGAACATGAATGAGAACTTTGCAGCTCTAAAAGCATTGATGTTGATACAACTAAACTTGCTTTGTGCTTAGTTCAGCTTTGTGTTTTGTGTGACTCCACAGAAGTTTAGCAAGGGAGGTGGGCATGGGTTTGGATAGCCTTTTGGAGATGGAGAGTGCCAGATTCCGATGGATGGACTGACTGTGTGTCTAGCTCACATACAAATGCAAGGCTAAAATGAAAGTGCAAGCAGAAAGGGTACCCTGGCTGCTTTTTTGCCTAGATTCCTCACATCTCTGTATTTTGGAAATTGTGTTCTGGAAATGAATCTTCTTGTTGCCTTGGGATTGCCTTATATGCCTAATGGAGGATACAGATGCACATGGAAGTCTGTGCAAGTAATTAGAAGAGGTGACTTAAATAACAGTCACGCTAAAATGATTGTGTCCTTTTCCAGATTGAGATCAGGGTTCAGGGAATTATTCTTGCTCTCCTGTTTTATCGTTTTGCTGAAATGAGTCTAACCATCTGCTATTCCCTGTAACATGACAGAACATGGCACCCAAATGCTCCTGTCCCTGTGCAACAGGGGAAAGCTGTACAACACCTATGAAGAATTTATCCTGAAGGGGAAATCTGCAGGTGTTCATCCAGTAGTTTTTTCTGGGATTTCTATTTTGCTGGAGGTTGCATTTTCATTTTCTTAGTTAATTTTAAAGAACTGTCAAGAGGGCAAAGGAAGGAACATGCTTAATTAAACAAGTTTTTCAAGCATGAAAATGAAACGTGATTTTTAAAAAAATATTTTTCTTTCCCCTGATTTGTGGGAGCACAGTGTTCTTCAAGCATAATGATGGTTTTTTTAGCCAAAGGCTGTAATAACATAAATCAGAGTCTTGGCCTGTTCTGGTTTGTTTGGTCTTATTCAAAACAAGAGTGAAGCTAATTTACACAGCTACTGTACTGTATGTTAAAGACACTAAAGTATTTGGTGCTTGCCTTTTGAAAGGCTTATCACAAGCTGTACTCATACTTCTGTGTGAACCAGTAGAGATCTTTCTGTTGCTGGTATATTATTTTTCCCTCCCCTCTCAGACTATAGGAAAAAATACAGGAGATTTGTCTCCTCAGGGTAAAACTGACTAAATAATTACACACCGAAACGATAAAATTATACTGGCTAATGTTGCAGTGCCCTAGGCCATTTTGCTCATGGTTACTTGCTATAAAAAGCATAGAAAAACCTAGTTAGAAGGTTTTCTATAACTTGTCAGTAGGAGCACATGGAAGGTCTTGGGGTTTCCAGGGAGTTGTATGTGACATTTCTTTGAGGCACCATAATTCATTCAGATGGCTTTGCCATTTGCTAGGTACATCTATGAAACCTCCCTTTCTGGTGTTTAAGAAACAATGCATGCTAGTGTGGTTGTATTTTAGACGTAATTCAATTAATTAATGTCTGGTGAGGTGTATGAGAACTGCATCAAAAGAATCTGGTAGCAGGAACTTTAACCTCAGTATGATTTATTTGGTCCAACAGATGTCATACCTCCAGTGGAGCGATTCCTCAGTTTACCAATCATAACTATCCTGGTATTTAAAAGAAAATTATTCTTGGTGACTTCATAACACGTCTCAAAATATAAATTGCATATAAAATACATATGCAGCAGTCAGAAATTAAAAAATAATATTTACAAACATTAGGGTAGGAAGGCTTTGTGCAACCTGGTCTAGCGTGAGATATCCCTGCTCATAGCAATGAGATTGGAACCTGACGATCTTTAAGGTCCCTTCCAACCTTAACCATTCTATGATTCTATGATTCAGCCTGCCTCTGATCTGTACAGTATTTACCTTACAACTTAGAGTGCTGTGCTGCCTAGAATTCACAGAAGATACTATAATTTTTACACCTCTGTGCTTTTTTGCATGTTCATCTATTCACAGTGCAAGAACTTAAGTATTGTTGAGTGGGGGACAGGTCAAATGCCAAAATAGTTTTGCAAAGTCATGTTAACTTACCCCCTTTTGGCAAAGTAGTTTTGCAAAGTCATGTTAACTTACCCCCTTTTGGCACCACCTTGCCAGCTATGCATGTGAACCAGAAAGCAAGTGTTTAAGGATCCTTGATCACTCCATGGTCAAAAATGTGCATGTGATGTTGCTGTTTGAGTATCAACTTCATAACCTTCCTATCTCATCCCTCTATTATTGCAACAAAAAGAGAGAAGTGGTACCAAGGCAAAGCTATACAAGGCTGCAGGAAGAGGAATATTAACAAAGAAAGGGTTGATCTCTTAAACCTAGTACAAAAGTAGCCTCCAGGCTGAGACTTGCATACAAAATTGTGAGGCTGAGAACACAGTGGAGTGCCGTCATGGTCTAATATAGTAACATTGGTAATATTGTCTCTGGTCCATGTGTCAGTCCGTTGTCTTCATTCACCGAAGAGTCCCTTTGCTGTCAGGGATTTCTGATACCTTTTTCCTACAACATTGCAACTAGAACCATGTAAATGCAGATCGTTGGTCTTTTGAGAGAAGGGAAGAGACTGCCACTGCAGGAGACATTTTAGCAGCTCTTTTACCTACTCTAGCTTTCTGAAAAGGAGTACTGCCATGTTTCCCGGTACATTTCCTTTCCAAGATTGAACATAAGGAGGGGTGAATCTTTTGTGTTGGAGAAGGCTTTACTGATGTGTCTTTTTCTGTACTGATCTCTAGACTGCAGCCAAACAGCTGGCCCAGCTGCTTCTCCATTCTCTCAGCGAAGACTGTTACTGGAGCCCTTTATCTGATCCGCTTCCTGAGTTCATGAACAAGGAAGATCAGTCTTATGTTAGCAATCTTCTTTGTCGGAGGCCTGAGCTGTACACAGAAGAGAAGTAAGCATTTGTTCTTATTTCAGTTTATCAGCAGGAGGAAGGAGAGTGTTTGAACACTCTTCGGTACTGCTAATTATGTCACTGATTCATGTAGTATTGTGTGTTCTTGCCATCAAAAGGCCTGCTGGAAAAACAAAACATTAAACTCCGCATATTTGATGTTTCTTTTTTCCCAGGAAGAAAGAAAATCCAGCCAAATAGCTGTCTTTGCTATGAAATTGAAATAATCTATTTCTGGTTCAGTATAGCTCATCTAGGATATATTGCAGAGCTTTTAATTGTGTGAACCTGTAAAGAAAGGTATTGCCTAGCAAATGAATTATGCATGAGATGTTTCAAGTTACTGCTCCTCTTGTGAAATGAGAAAGAGGCTGACAGGATAATTCTTGACCTTCCTCAGAAAAATGTGTTCTGTCTTTCAGTGCATACTGCCCACAAGACAACGTAGAAGAGGCTCTTCTTCTCCTCTTAATCAGTGAATCCATGGTAAGCCAAAAAAGAGTTTGTAATACTAATAGCACAAAGGAATATCTAGTTTTTCCATGTCAAGTCTTCTGGCTGGTTTTGTTTATAGAATCTTCCCTCAATAAACAGAAGCAAGGATTCAGCTGCTGAACAGGAAATGCTATTTATTCCTTTATTAGTGACACCACGTTTATTAAAGGGAACGTCAGTGAAGCGTTTTGGGAATTGTCAGGAGGGGTTGACTGCATTCACCATAGCTGCATGCAGGTTCTGACATCCAGCTATATGGTCAATATACAGATGTTTTTGCTCAAAACATCTGTGGATTTATGGATTAAGTATGAGAGGAAGGGGAGCCTTGCCTAAAGCCAGGCATGGTGGTGGTACTCACTGTTTGGCATTTGTGGGATACAATATCATGCTTGCATTCCTTAGTCTGCAGGAATAATATTTTAGCTGTTGCAGTCAGGAGTGATCTTTGATACTGATGATAAAGGGAGTTTTGTCACATGCCGAAACACCCATAATGAGCTACAGCAAAATAATTAGATTTTTTCTATTTATAACATCAGACGCTTTGAAAAAAATCCCTTTAAGAGGAAGGAGAAAAGGTGGAGAAAAACAGCTGCATGGAAAACTGCACAGTAACCTTTGATTATTTTCATGTTCTGAAAAGATGCAACCATACAGAAAATGTGTAAGGAATGTTTTCTGAAAATGTGTAAGGAAAGTTACTTTGCCTTTAATGCTCTGTGGTCACTTGTGAGATTTGAAAACCTTGAAGCATCAATGACCCCCTTAGGAACTTTTAAGCAGCTTTCAGGCAAATTGATGAGAGATTCCGTGGAAACTTTGCTTTGTGTTGGTTTTTTTGCTTCCTTCAGTTTTTCTTTGATTCTTCTGGCTCAAGTCCTTCCCCTTGCCTGCAAAATTCTTCAGAACATGGCAATTTAATATTGTTTGCTTTTAAAATTTTGGGAAAAGCTGAAGAGGTAGAACCACCCGAAATATTAAATTGACTTAAAAATCACATACATCTGAGTATTACCATACTTTTCTCTCTCTCTCTCTTTTTTTTATTTATTTAAATTTTTTTACTGCTTTCTCAATTGATCTTCTACAGTACATCTACTTTGTGTTTTCAAGGGCTTTTCTGCAGTTAGAAGAGCTTTTCAAAATTGGAAGTGGAGGCTCCAGGAGTGAGGGCATTTCTATTAAAATCAGAAGAATTCTTATCAGTGAGGCTTATCAGGGCTGTTGCAAGAAAGAGGTGGATCGGGGTCTGAAGCAGCAAAAGTACTGGCTTCTCCTGCCTTTTCTGGATCTGGACTTGCAGCCAGAAAGGACTTGTGCTACCTTGAACTCTCTAGTTTTGTTCTGCTGAGGTGAATCAAAGTTATCCCTGTTTTATCCAGTAGTGCATAAAATGGCAAACTGGTCCTGTCACTTAGTTATGGATGAAGCAGTGAGAAAATGCTATTGATAGGACCCGCACTGTTGTGCTGATTTCAAGGCTAAATAAGTAAGCTTGTATTTGCTTTAAGAGTTGTCTCTTAAATATAGGAACTTTCTGAAAGTACATGCAAGGCTTTTTCATCTGCTGCTTATAAAGTACTTAAATAATCATAGATCCTGTAGTAGAGCACTGCAGGAAACATAACTGTCTTTCCATTTTTCTTGGAATATCTGAGGCTTCCTCTTGCATCAGTGATAGGCTTGTCATGACTCTCTTTAACAAAAACACAGGACAGGTATATAGGAATACAGCTGTGTATAGAAATACACTTAGGAACCACAGGAATGTGCTTCTTAAGTGAAGGAGCAGAGGGAACAATCTGATTCGTATGTATGTTTGCAATCCATAAATATTTTCCTGTAGTTTTACTGTTATGGTGCTCGGAAGGGGAAGTTTTGTTTAATTTATGACATGAAACATCTTTTCCATAACAGCTTTGTTGCAGGATAATGAGTTTTCTTAAGTACAGATTTGTTGTTTGTTTGAAGTTTTTTTGTGTTTGTTTTGTTTTTTTTTAAACTTGCTGAAGCTCATGGAAAATGAGTTAACAAGAAGCAGATTTTCAGCTGCGGGCTCCCTAATGATATAATGTTAACAACTGAATAAAACATGTTTTCCTTCCTGGAGAGAGTGTCAGTGGCAAATGATAATGATATGTTTCTTTAGGCCGGTAAGCAACATAGTTGGTGTTCCTGGATTTTGGCTGGATTAGGTGTTCTTTCAGTATTTACAATTATGAATGCCTTAAAATGAAACAGAAATACACAATTAGGTTGGCTTGCTGGGAGCTCTCCAGCTTCTCTGACACTTTCATTGCTCTGTTGGAGCAAAATTCACCAGAAAGGTTCTTTTCCTGACTGATTTTTAAAGAGACATAAGAGAAACCATGCCATTATTACTCCTTTGCAGGTCTGTAAAGTCAAACAGCTGCTCCATAAGCCTGTTCCTGACTTTTGCCGCTCCAAAATGAGCTCAAGGGAGACAAAATTGGGAGAAGGAGGGACAGAAGTATAGTCAGCATATGGAGGGGATACAGAGCAAAGATGTACTGGGGAGGAGCATAAATCATCAGAGAACCTCAAAGTAAATATGTGACACATTTGATGAAAAGACAACATGGTAGCTTCTTCAAGAAGTATACCTCTGGATCACAATTTTTTTTTCCCCAAGCCATACATTAAAGGAGTAGATCAGTGCTAGGTAGTTTGTCTCTGAAATTAACTCTATTTTTCTATTTGGCCTGCCTTCCTAAAGTGAAGCTAACATGTACTTCACAGGAATTTGGTTTAAAAGAACTGATCCTGTAAGGGGAAAGGAAGAAAATATGTTGCATTTAAGGTGTTGTGAGCCAGACTATACATTCCAACACACCTCTGGCTCTTAGTGGTGCTGAAATCTGGCTTGTGATGCTGCCCCAGCTTTTCTTCTTAGCCTTTTACTTTGCACTGGGAAGGAGCCACTTTGCATGTCCTGATGGGATGAAATGAGAGTATCTCCTAAAGGGGTAATTGAGGGTTTCTTCAGTATTTTGCTCACTCTGCCTCAGCCTAAGCATATAAAAGTTTTTCAAAAGGACAAATAACATGATAGCCTCTTTCATAGCTTTGAAGATGTTTATGTGGATACATTAATACTTACAGGGACTCTTTCCTGATGGCAGTCTTCGGAGTTAGATTCTGTGTTCTTTCTGTTCTGTTGAAAATAGGAACCTATTTTCATTAACTAAGGCATCTCAGTAAACAATGAAAAGCATCCCAGTTGTTGAATTTGGCAAGTGCTCCTCCTCTGTGCCAGCTGTTACTTAGTCACAGTGGTTGGCTGTAGAGTTCTCATGAAGGAATCTAGTGAAACAAATCAGGCAGCCTGAAGATTACGAATAGTCAGGGCTGTCTTTAAGGGGGGTTGTGGCCTCCTAGTTAAATTCTCATGCCTTATGCACAGCCCGAGCTATGGTATGGATGCACTGTGTTTGTGAGAGGAGGAAAATGCACTCCTTCAGACCAAGGAGACAGCCAGCTGGTGACAGCCTTACCAAGCTAAGGCTGTGGTAGAATGATGTGTTCCTATCACATGTTGGAAAAAATGGACTGACCTATTTTTAAACCACTAGTCCTTTCTCTTACTTCATTTAACCCTTCAAAACCAGTGGCACTGTGTTTGTGAGGAGGACCAAGGGCATACTGTGGCTTGCTGCAGTGTGGCTTCTCTGCATCATGCTGCCAGTGGGAACGGCACTGGTTCTGCCATCAGGGACTCTGGTGCTTTGTGCTGCAGGGCAAGGGAGGTTTGGCAGGACTAACCCTTAGCTGCAGTGATGTTTATTTTAATAACTATTCTCAGGAGTATTCCGAGTTGACTGCACTGCCCCAGAAGTTTCTCAGAGCCAGGAATGGAACACTTGCTATTACTTTTTTGTGTTTACTTTGGAGGTTAAAAAAAAGAAAGAAAGAAAAAGAGTTCTTTGTTTACACTTAGAAACCTTGCCTTCTTGAACCTGAGATCCTGTGTACAATCTAAAATCCCTTTATTCAGCCCTTAGCAATGCTGGCTTCTCCAACTGGGGATTCTGGCTGGTGTGGTTCATCAGACGTACCAGGTAACATGGATTATTTTTTTGGGCTCTGTTCACTTCACTCATACTGAAAACGAAGCTCCTTCTATCCAAAACTAATAAGTTCTGTGCGTGCATAACAAAGATTAGAAATGTCAGCTTCGTCTTATCTCTGATTTGAATCCCTAAAGGCGACTTGACCTTGGAGAGCCTGAGAGCACAGAACAGATGGTGAGGGGGGAAGCAGGATACTGGGGCTTGTCCTATTCTTTTTACGGGTGAGAGCAAACTCATGGCTGTGAGCATGCCTTTAATGGAAGAAGATTAAACCCTTGTATTCTTAAGCATAGAAGTAATTAAAACCAGTTAACTCTGCAGTTCCTAGCTTCATAAAATAATGTTGTCCAGCAAATGGACTGGCAAAGAACAAGAATCTCTTGTTGCTTTTGTAGGATTTTGTTGGGGGTTTTTTTGATGACGCGAAGCCCAGTGATGATACAACAGCTGGATGGCCATAAGTATTTTCTTGAGGGCTATAGGACTATGGCAGCTGAAAGAGACAACTGGGGACAGGACTGCTTGCTCTGTTGGTTCCTGCCAAAGCCCACCATGCACTTAGGATAGCAAGCCCGACTGCCTCTTTAACTAGTCTGCAAGGCAAAGCTGTGTTTGGGACTTGCAGACGTGCACTATGAGATGTTTCTAATAGGAAAGACACCACCTCTATTAATTTTTCTTTAATAAATAGCTCTACTGCAAGTTGGTGGAGACAGGATACAGAGCTTTTTTCCTTCTGCTTTGCAGTAGGCAGTCTTGTTTCTGAATTTGCAAGGAGGATACAAATTCTTGGAAGATAGCTTTCTAAATGCAGATTATTGATAACAAATACATGATTTTATTACCCAAGCCAGTATCCATGAACAAACTTAATTACTTTCTCCCTCTCCCTTTGTA